AATCCTGCCGTTGGCGTTTAAGCCCCTAATTCTGTACCCTGTGACTCCAGCTCTGGGAAATCTCATCTGGGGACCTTCTCCTTTCCGTCCTCTTTGACGTGGGCATCATGGCTGTGACTCTGGACCTCTCTGAGTATCACATGTTCTGTGGTGGCATGGACGGATCCATCTTCCAGGTCGACCTCTGTGCCTGGGTGAGTACACGGGGCTGCGGTGCAGCTGGGGGCCGCTCCTGACCTGCCAGGGCGCGGGAGGGCCTGGGTTCCTCGGTACCTCCTCTGCTCCCCCCGCCACAGTGGGGCACCTGCTGGCTTCCGCCTCGTTTCTGCAGCCGGTCCAGAGAGACCGGACCTTCCAGACGGAGCGGGAGAACGGGAAGATCTTCAAAGGGCACAGGTGAGGGACCAGACGTACCCGCCAAGCACTGCCTTGCCCCCATCCGCCCACCTCACCAGTTTCTGCTAGTCCTCGGGTCATCCTGAGTTTAAACATCATCTTCCAAAACATCCTCTTCCCCATTCCAGGAACCAGGTGACGTGTCTGTCGGTCTCCACGGATGGCAGCCTACTGCTTTCCGGCTCACACGACGAAACAGTCCGGCTGTGGGACATCCAGAGCAAGCAGTGCCTGAAGACGATGAATCACAAAGGTAGGCATGCTCTTATCTCTCCGGATCCTTTCCTCCTGACCTGCCCAAGGCTGCTGCTGCTGTCTCACTTCTGCTCTGACGCTGCCCTGGGCACTCGGGGTGTTTCTCTGTTACTTGCTTCACACCTCCAGGAAGGGGAGAGGCGTTTGAGGGACGCCTCTGCTGTCTGGAGTAATGTTTTGACCTTGCCCAGGACTGTTACCAACCCCGCTGTGCCCTGTCATGGAGTGAGTCATAGATTTCACCCTGTCACTGAGGACATCCAGGATCTTCCTCCTTGTTTCCCAAAGGGAGCGGTTGCCCCACACACACCCTGGTGCCCGGGGAGGCCATGGCCGGGGGAGGCTGTGTCTGGAGAAGAGCCTGTCTCTGTCACCCCGGCAGTGAGCACCCATGAGCTCATTAGGCCTGAAGTGAATCTGATATAAGCTGTCGTCTGGGATTTCAGTTTAATGGCTCCCATAAACCGTGCAAACAGGCTCAGTCCAGCAATTAGGCGCAGCCCTCCTGCTGCCTGCGAGCTGCTGCCAACGGCGGGCTCCTGCGCGAGGGTGGGGGGCCCCGCTGCCTGCTCTCCCTTCCTGTCCTGCCTTCTGCTGCCAAGGACCGTTTCTAATGGGGAGCTACTGCAGTGCCCGTCCAGCCTTGCTCCGCTATAGCGTTAGAAGGGTGAAGTCGGACAAAATCCGAGCTGTGTGACTCAGCAGAGGAGGATGGCGGGGCAAGATTTTGCTTTGAGCCAGGCATTAAAACCCTCCTTGAGGCTGCCGGGGAGTGCAGGTGGACGCGGGTTCTCCTCGCAAGGGGCAGGCCCGGGCTGGCCGTGCCGAGCTCCGCGGTGCCGGCGCTGTCTGCAGCGGGCTCGCTTCTCTGCAGGCAGGGACTCAGCTTCCCAGCACTGCTGCTGCCCTGCCTCCCCATCTGCCCGTGGCCGTTCTTGTTGCCTCCCAGCAAGGTCTGTTCCCTGCTGCCGCCCTGCTCACCCCTCCAGCACGTTCCCTGAGCTTTCCTCTTCCCACGGCAGAGACAACACGGGCTTTTCTGCTGTGCTGACGTGACAGCAACTTCCAGCCTGGTGTGCTTAGGGGTTCCTCTGCTCACGGGGCAGAGCACGGAGCTGGGAGCAAGGCAGAATCTTCTGCCCTCCCCACATGACATTGCTGCAAATAGATCGGAGGGGATGGAGCACAGCTCGGGGCTCAAGAGGAGCAGGACAGGCGCAGGGGGCTTTTCCAGCAAGGTTTTC